TTTTTTTTATTATTCAAGGAAACAGTTTTAATTCTATGTAATTTAATGATTTTATTTTATACAGTGAAGTTTTGTTGCAGGAAATTGTGATAAATAACAGAGAAACGTTTAACAAGGTATCATTATAGTGTAGAGGATAAAAAATGGAGGCTTCTATATCATTTAAGTAAGGCCAATATCCTATATTATAACGACAGAAAAATCCTAAAATAATAAGCTTTAAGACGAGAAACATAAATATATGATAGCTCTTTTATTAAATAACAGGTAACTTAATAAGGTTTTCCAAATTAGTCTATGCCACGATTGCCATGTTCTTAGTGGCTAAATGACTATTATTAAATTAATCGCTTAAATTTACATCTCTGTTACCAAAGTAAACAGAACATTAGACTTATCTACATTATACTTTTCGTATATAAACCATTAATAATTTGGGAATTGAGATTTCAACTCGTGAGCTCACCGAAATTTAATGAGTTTTTCAAATCCCTGGTGTAAATATAGCAAAATAATATAATATTAGTTACCAGTGTAAATTAATAAAAATCGAAAGATTAATTAAGAAATGGATTATAAAGGAATTCCAAAATTTTTACATTAAAAGTATTCATCTCTAGCGATCCGAGTGGACAAAATAAATTAAAATTTTGATAATTTTTATTTATTTATTTTGTTTTAATTTTCTTTTAAGAAAATAAATATTTAAATATTTAATTTTCCTAGTAACGTTATGTAAGAGTCGCATTTATATGTAGAAAATTGGAAGAAACAAGAACAGGAAATGAAAATAGATAGGAATACAAAAATAGATTCAATCAATATGAATATCCGGTTAAGAAAATAGATAAAAAAGAGTAAAATTGAAAATAAAATTGCCTCTTTATTCTACTGTACGCCTACACAAATTGCTACTAATCTGAATCTCCTGTATAAAAACTTCCATGCATTCTTTAACATAATTTGTAAAATAAGCAATTTATAATATTTTAACCATTATTATATTTAATTCCCGTTATTTATGCATAAGAAATGCAATTCCAAATTCGATCACGGATAGGAAATTTGCAGATTAATGGAATTTTCGCTACGAAGTCAGACAAGAATGTCACATGGAGAAGATTTTTATTACTAGTAGCATCGCTCGAGTAAGTGTAGTCGTGTTTTGGCGAGTCGAAAATCGGATCCACAATTTGACCTAAATACTGTAGAGTAATTAGCGTGTAGAGCACATATAGTTTCGGTACTGGAAGTATGAATTACGAGCGGGAAATTAAGAGTAGAGACGTGACTTTGATTTTAATATCGTGATTTGAATTCTTATGTATATTCTGAAGGATAGTTTTGAGTAATTTTATTACTTTTATTTGTCATATTATGTAGGATACGTTTCAAAATGTAGAAAACGAGTTTAATAAATAAACAAAAGGATAGTTGTTGCTGTACTTGCTTTAAATTCCTTGTGTTCTGTAATATTGTGGTGCTGCTTTATCATATTTTACATGCCTTTGTTTAATTACAAGTTTACTAAATTTGCAGATTAATTTGCGAAAATTCAATATAAGTATTTTTCTTGATTAAAACTACAATATTACACTTGAATCGTTAAAATTTTAACATTAAAAGCACAAACTTGACTTTAAAAAATAATAAAATTTATCAGCTTACAACCTTTATAGATTTTAATTAGTTTTATTTTAGCAATTTCTAACAGAAATTTGATACTTTAGTAGTGTTTATATATTATAAAAGCCTCGTAATAGCAAGATTTCATTTAAGTAAGCTCTTGGAATTCATTATAGAAGCACTTAGGCCTATAATTGATTCAAACTATTACATTATGATGATAGTATATTATCAAATTATTTATTAAAGTAGCAATAATTTACAGCTTTTATTGGTTTTTATAATAGTACCATCATTCAAACTATAGTTTTACTAATCAGCCTATTACAAAAGTTGTGCTACTATAACATTTTCTTACATTTTTCTAATAAAATTTTAAATTTTATTAGAAAATTTTAGAAAATTTTATTTTAAGATTGATAAAATCCTATTTTATCAATCTTTAAGGAATTTTAGGCCTAACTTTGTTAAATAGATTTATTACTATAACAACATTCTTTAACTAATTCGAAAACATTTTGCTATAACGACATTAGGAAACTATGATATTTACTTATTGTAGATTGTAACCAATTAAAACGGCATTTATAGGCCGTCTTAGTGCTATAGTTGCATATACTGAAGTTTTAAATATTATTATACTAGCATTTAAAAACTGATATGATAGGTGTAGCGTCACTATTGTAAGTACAGTACAGTACAACCAAAATTTACTCTTCCTACTTATTGTAGTTGCCTAGTAATTTAAAGACAGACTTAGTTTATAATTACAGCAGAATACTTTGTTTAAATTCAATGAATTAATGCTACAACAAGAACATAAATCCTTTTAAAACGTATTCATTGTAATTGTATTCAAGTTACAACAATATTATTGCTAGAGTAATCTAAAGTTAAAATAATTTTATTGTAGCAACAATATTAAACAAATTACTAAAACAATTCTCCCAGATTTTAAAAGACAGAAGAATAAAGTCATATTGTAACTGTTTCATTCGAAAACTTCTCAACAGATGTGTTTTTATTACTGCAGCAGCATATGTAAAAAATATGTGTTTTTTTAACCGAAGTGAAATGAGATTCAGAGATAATGTATTAATGTTTAAGGGTGTAAATATAGACTGGCGATAATTTTTGCATGAAAAATCACTTAATATAGTTTCTTATGTCACGAATGGGAACGACTTTAGCAGGTTCCACTCGTAAATTTTTATTACCTTTGTAGACTACACCTTTCTTTCTGTGTTCAATATCTTTCTTTGCCTTAAAAAATTACTTAAATGGATTTACAACTTAAAAACTTGCGAAAGATTACTTATATATATATGTATATAAATTTAAATTCTTTACAACGTAAATTTTGTATTAAACACGTTGAATTATGTACATTTTTATCAACCAAATTTTCATTCACAAGAAGCTCGTTTTGCATATGATTAACACCCTATTAAAGCTGAGTGCATACTAATGCTGCACTTCAGTCTCTCATCTGCTTCTTAACAAGTTAAAACACTTAAAAAATTAATAACAAACCTCCCTATTCTTAGGCCTACGGTAGCATATAGGCCTTTTGAATTATTGTCTTTTATAATAAATTAATACTAAAGTAGCATCAATTTTAATTAAATAATAAGTCACAATATTAAAAGCTGACAGAAAATATTTATTTATTAAGTGGAAAACTCATAAATAAATTATAAATTGAGGAAGAAACGAACTTAAATATGCCGATACATGCGAGATTTTTCATGCTTTTCCACGCCGTTTTACATTTATTAGAAGCGAAGTAGCATCAATTTTAATTTATATATTAAATGCTGATATGGAATATTTATAAAAGAGCTGGAAATTTTTCAAAAAATCATTAACATACAAGTTGAACGAACTTAAATGTACCGCTAGCACTTTATATTTTGTTACAGACGTGCCCTTCACCTTATCTGTATTATTTATAGTTACAAAGTTTTAACTACATTTATTTGCTGCATGTCAATATATATATATAATTTTTGTTCCTTAAAGTGTAAACATCTCAGAGAACAAACACGACTTTCGGGAACAGGAAGCTTTCGAAACACAAAAGAAGCTTTCAATAACATGCGGCGCACGAAGAAAATGTTTCTAGTTTCTTTATTTCTAGAATACACCTTAAAAAACTTCAACCAAAACTGAAGTTTCTAGTGCATTTATATATAGCTTACATTTAATTTAAACTAAGTTTAGAGAAAGGATTTTAAACTCTAAGCGCGGGCCTGATCAATAGACTACTTTGCATAGAAATAGCTTGAACAAATTACTTGAACAGTTCGATAACACGAAAATAATTTTCTAAATATATTCAAGTATTATCTTGTATATAAAATTCTAGAAGTTGAACTTAGAAACATTAAAATAACATCTCACAGAAACCTATTATCTTTTCATTCACGCATTTACTAAAAATAGAAACTAAGGATGAATGAAGAGATGTTGTTTTAATGTAAGTTTCCAGTTGAATTTTTGAGAAAAGAAACATTATAATCCGATTTAAATTTCTTAAAATGAGCTACTTGACAGTTTTTTAACGATTAAATTTACTATTTTTAAGCTGATTTTTGGCCTAAAGCACTTTACGCTTCTGATCTAAAGAAGCGCGATCGAGACTTTTTTTTTGAAAGTTTTGAATCAAGGTCTACAAGAATAATTTCGTAATTATAGTAGAATTACATTAAAAACAATTTAAAAATTAAATATCAAATTTCTATTGAGAGTTAAATTTTAACAGGCGACATTCGGTCCTTTCACATTCTCTTACTAACTTATTCATTACGTTATCACTTTTCTTCTTTCTTTAAATGTCTTACATTAACGCGTAAAGGATTTAATTATCTATTTTTATTGTTTTTAACACTTTTCATTAAGTTTAAACTATAAATTTCATAAATTTTATTACCGAAACACGGGTGTACGTTCGAATATCCAAGTGAGTGAATAGCTCATATTTTAGCCCACGTTTCAACGTTTATAAGGACTATTAAGTAATTATTTAATGATTGTATACATTTAAAAGTTTTAATATTTTTAAAAGGATTTATGAGCAATTTAATTAAATTTTTCCTTTGTTAAAACACGCATTAACGTTTAATAAAGTTTCCGATATACCGCTTAATCATTTAATTCTTTTAAATGTGTTAAAATTTTGATTGTTAAACTAGAATTTTATAGTTTTTTAACTTAGAAATAGATTTCATGGAACGGTCCAATCTCCGGAGTCGCAAATAATTGAAAGTTTGCAAATATTTAATCCTTTACAAAAATCTGTTCGGATATAAATTCATATTTCTTGTCACGTTATTCTAAGAACTGATTAATCTTTAATTCGCGGTAATATTTACCTGATTTCTGCAGATTACCACGATGTGTTTGGAATAATCGTTGAAAATTTGAGTATCCTTCAGCAAGCCCGGACTTCTATAAGAGGAGAAGAATCTGTAGTAAGTGTTCATGCATAGAGGAATTCCTTTTCCATGGCCAGATGCATACTCTTGTTTTAAATCTCTCCTTCATTGTATAGAAATTTTGTAAGATCCCTGTTTGCAATACAAAACAAAAATTAAAATTTTACCCACCTTTGCAATTTCTGTTTGTATTTAAGAGAAAACACGACGAATTTTGATACGTAACTGGAAATGAGAGGATAGATGTCAGATGCGAAGAAAATTACAAAGATTTGCAATTACATAAATCTCACCTGAGTTGCTCGTTAGTAGTATTAAAGGCTTGCTTTGGAAGCATGAAGAAGGGACTAGAGTTTACAGGAAGGGAAAGAGGATTTTTCAAGTACATGTCGTCCAACCAGAAGCCAGTCACCTATAGAAATTATCAGAATATTCTTACATAAGTAATGTATACTTAGAAGAAAAGGAAAAGAAAGCAAAAGGAGTTGCAAAGAGGGTGGAGTTTCGTCAGACATTGACAGATGAACAGATCAATGATGCTCAAGGACCCATCTGGAATGTTGGGAGCATGTAGAATCATTTGAAATGTGGAGATTGGCCACACCTGATGCCATATAGGCGGTCCTAATCGAATTCGAGCATCTTTATGTTAATTAGGGTCGATAGCCTTACTTCCGATTCTCGTCTGAAGATCGGCTCTTTATTTGTCAATAACCGGGATAGGAGGTTAAGTCCTTATATGTACAAGAGCAGCAGGAGATGTCTAGATGAGGATATTCTTTAATAAAGTTTTCTGAAGGAGATACCGTTTAGAAAATTATGTTTTAACTTAATACCCGACAAGAGCGAGCGCGTAACGCGAAACACGATAAAAGATAAGGGGTCTAAAAGGTGTATTTGACAGCGAGCATCCAAAATCGAAACCAATTTAAAGTACAAGGCAGCAGTTACCATTACAGTAGCTGATTGAAGAGATGCGATAACTCAGGATGACTCCCAACATGGACGAACCAAATAGTGATTAGGTTATCTGCTGAAGAACGCCCTTCTCCCATCCCGATCGGTTAGTCTTCCCTGGAGGCATTACCTTATCGATGGACTGAATGTTAATTCTGCTGTCGCGAACAAAGCTAACAAGGTTGGAGTCTCTAGGGTCCAGATGCTTCCGTTTGCCCAGCAAATGACTCCATTCTCTGAGGACATGTCTCGTTATTTGCTTTCTTGTGGTGGCACACGCAACCTCTCGTTCTTAACAATGGAAAGATTTCAATACCCGATGTTACTAAAAAGTGTTACTTACCCAATTGTCTGCGGTTCCGGCGTATTTCTTCAGTAAATCTTGCAGGCATTCCCCGGTTCCTCCAGGTTTCTGAAACTCGTTAACCAAAGATTTCGTATGGTTAAACTGCTCAGAATCAACTATTGCTTTAATACCTGTTAGGTACCTCTCCAATGTAGATTTTAATTCTGGTACGGGAGGTTTAGGTAGAACCTGCAAGATCAAAACACAATTACAGAGAAAGAGAAGAGGTAAAAATCTCCCTTCCTTTGCTAGATCCCGCTCAATTTATTAGGAATTAACATGTCAGACAAACTCCGCCCCGTCCCATGAACTGCAGATCCTTTCAAATCAACTCTAATAATTTGATTAGCAGGCAAGCCACCTGCTAGTTCCCTGAGGTATACATCATCACCGTCCCTGCAATGTCCCTTACATCGACAGAATCAATACTAAAGGTGTATCGATTGAAGGGATGCATTCGAGTCACGTGCTTGGGACCTCCCCAATCTTCCAACGCCTTCCAATTGCACCAGGAAATATTATCCCATTACAGTTAGGATTGGTAGCTGGGTCCTAGTGGCGACACGCTTGACTTCTTTCTACAGGACGTGCCTTGGGGGACGAACTGTTTGCTCGTTCAATTAGGCACAGTAATCACATTTGTCACCATCGATTTGGCGAAGGAAAACATCCCAACAACATAACAAACCACAAAAACCTCAGCTGATATCATCGAGATGACGTGTCACCTTAATCCAAAACGACACGAAGCACATCTCGAAAACTTTTCCCGCATCCCTAGAAATACTTAAACTGATTGTGTAGGCTCCTTTATGTTTGAGTGTACCCAAGTGGGGTTGAGTTGTGTATCGGATAATGGCGTTTCGCCGGAGTAGTAGTACAAACGGCTCCCTAAGGTGACATATGTCGGTTTGGATGAATTAAACATCATCACCTCACAGATTGGATCCGGAAAGTTGATATTAAAAGAAGCATACTTTCCCTTCCTTCTTTTGCCTGAATGCCAAATATATTTTTCCGTCTTGCTCGATAAGTGACCATTTTTTTATAGTAGAAACTCTGCTCTTCTCGTTGATACTCGCAAGGGAGAGCATCTCAGCTTTGTAACCATGACAACAGCTTTGCTGTTTTGTGACAAGAGGTCTTTCAAAGTTCCTTCTCCTCACGTCTAAGCAGGAAGTCCATTACAATGGGCTTTAGACAAGGTTGCGCTATTTCTCTTAAGTGAAGTATTAACCTTAATGTAATTATACCATAAAAACGTGATTTCCGCGTGGTTCCTATCTAAATTAATTTACCAAACATATATATCATATATAATAGTAAATCTACTCACCTCTTCGGAACCTTGAGACATGATGTGGGCTGGATTGGCCCTGGCTGTAAAAGTAAGAAAACGATCAAAAATTAATCAAATATATCAAAAAGTTTAATTTAAGAACCTAAACAATCGAATTCTTCAACAAATAACCTTTGAACTTTTACAAGATCTTCAATTTATAGAGGTAGAAATTGATTTTTCAGTAAACGATTACAATTAATTCAAACGCTTTAGTACTTTAGAAGTAATTAAGATTGTATTATTTATTCACACGGTTCAATAGATTCAATCGATATACTTCTACACGAACAAAATTTGAGTCGAAATGGGTAGAATCTGCATGATAGAAGGGCAAGTTAGCGAAGTATTATTGAGGTTTAATGCCTAGAAAAGTGCCCATAGATCTTAAATCGGAAAAAGTATATATATTTATATATTTTTTAAATATAAAAAAAAAAATAAAATCCCTTTGGCCCAAGAAACGTTTGGAAAATTAAAATCCTTTAGGCGCTTTGAAAAAAATCAATAAGGTCTATTTGACTTCCAAATTAGCAGAAATTGTCGGTGGAGATGGCATTTTCTTTTTCTTTTAAGTAAGAATTGCTGCTGCTTTCACTTTAAGAATAATCTTGCCAATTATCGTCGAAATTTTTTACTTTTGTAATTTTCATTAAAGATTCGAGAGGACGCTCTAAAAATAGAAAAAAAAAAAAAAAACAATTTTTCGATGCGATCAAAGAATAAAATATTCTTTACTAACATCGTGAATATCCGGAGATAAATAACCCGCATTTTCTACGAATAAAGTCGTAAAGATTCGCATGGTTATCTGTTTGTTATACTATCGATTATTGTAAAAAAAAGTCGCAATTTTACAGCATTAAAATATTATATAGGCTAAATTAATTAAATTTCTGAGTAGAATTTTAGTAAATTTTACCGGTTTCAATGAAGGTTTCTACGGGAAGATGTTCAAAATAAAATTCGTATGGCACTCCGTAGGGTTTCTATGCAGAAAATATCTCCCAGTAGAAATACATTCAGAACTTAAATCTCAATAGAACTCTATTTTTACTATTTTAATGGTGTCCGAAAGTTGTCGAAAAGAGCCATTTTTGCTCAATGGGGTGCTTGTATAAAATATTTTATGGTAAGTAAATAGACCCCGCATTCTACGAAAGAAACAGTATCGAGATATCTTTAAAGATATTGTGGTATCTTTTAAAGAACTGGATATAATATATCTTTAGATTATCAGGAGCGTAGTTTCTTTGCTGATGAGGTAAAGTCTATTCTTAGAATTGCTAAAATAACTTTTTTATGAGGAATAATTAACCATAAACAACATCAAAGATGTTACGTTGAAGATGGTTAAGTATATATCTTCGTAACACTTCATAAATGGAGATCAGTACAATGGTTGAAGTTTGAAACACAAAGAACACCAAATACAAAAGATTATATTTAATTATGGCCAAGTAATTTGGATGTCATTCACGGATAAGATTCATTTCATATCGGGAATATCCCGTCAGATAAAGGGCACCTTGGTCGTTTCAACCTTCTAATTACTTTGGGATCAAGAGGTGAGGAGGACGAAGCGATCGAACAAGCCTCGGGAGGGAAGCTTTAACTAGCAGCATCAGAATTAGCCCGTTTTTCTTTTGCCTACTTAATCAGGGACACGGGACCAATTATACCGGCAGCTATCCCCTTCGGCTAACAAGATAGGGGTCGAACGTAAAGGACTCCAAATCAACAAGAGGGTCCTTTGTGTCCCCTCCGATCGAATTCTTGATTACAGACGCACGTGGGTAACTCACAGAAGCAAATTGTGTACATAACTTCGACCGTGTGTACATATCATACTTCTGTACAGGTTGTGTACCGAATAGTTGCAATCCTCTTAGCGTTGCAAATCCGTCCCCGATGCTAATTGCTATCGTGTCCTTTCATCCCCGATCCTTATTATTGGGAGGGACGTGCTCAAGAGGACGGATTTATGCGAGGATCCGGCACGTACAGAATAGAGCAAATGACGAAATTTTCTATTATTATTTTCTTTTTTTACATTATTTTTTTAGTGAAGGACTAGCCTAGCTACACGCCGATCGATCTAAGCTAAAAATTACTGTCTAGGTAACACGCAATGGTATTCGTACAAAAGGACGTAAGTGATGTGAACTGTTACAGCTGTTGTCTGTCTATAAACTAGGTCGATAAATATTCTAATCAGGACCTTCTACCAGATAAGGGGCGCCATTTTAAATCCAACTGTCTACTATATTTTTTCCCTTTAAATTTAACATTACTCTTTTTTAAATGTTGATTTCACTAACGGTTCTTCAACTTACGAAAACTTTCGGCGGCGGAGATTACCGACGATAATTAGTTAGTTTAATTAAATGTGAAAATTATGCTGATTGGACAATTGTTTATAGCTGCGAATGCGGCAAGACTGCACCAATTGCTGCAGATTTGCTGCTTTTAAACAGCTCGATTGTATACAAAATTGTAAAAATCTACGGATTCTCTTACACTCCGCCATCTGATACCCCGTTTTATAGAAGTTCCTTGTATTTTTTTCTTATCCATTTTTAGAAAAAATTCTTTTCTGAAGAACTCTAGATTGATTCTTAAGAAAACCTCACAAGAAAAGAAGGGATAATTAGTTCTAAACCGGAAAAAAAAACTAGAACAAAGGTCACACCAAATCTAATTCTAGTTGATTGAAAGATTAAGGATTACTCTTTGTTAGGATAATAAAGATCCTTACTTTCTTAATTAATTTAACGCAAATGATTTTAATTTAAAAGAATAATTTTTCGATTTTGAAATGTTTTTAAAGATTAAATTCAGAAAATTTAGTAATTTTTTATAGTACGTTGAATGCAACTCAGGGTCATCTACAACAGAAAAATCACGCTTTGAGAATGGAAAAATAGATAAAAACTCGATAAATAATGTTGATTTTAAAGTAAATTAATTAAAATTTTATAATTTTAAACTTAGGAAATAATAATTGTTGTGTAAACATAAAAAAATAAGCTAATCGTATATTTTAGATGCGAGAATAACGTTAAAATAAAATCAATTATGTTAAAAAAATTACACAAACTAATTTCTAATTAAAATTCTACAGCTTGATTATAAAATTTATAGAATTTATTAAGTTTTTTATATTAATTTTTAAAGTTTTAAAAGTAGACTTACGACTTAAATAAATAGGAAAACAGAAAAAAAAAGAAGCAAATATGAATTCCTCTATTTATGAAATTTTCATACTTAAATTTAAAGCGAGAAAATCGAATTAAAATAAATTAAATTTTATTATTTTTATTATAAAAGCCTCATAAATTTTTCTTTTATAGATTTTTATCATTATGTATAATGATTTTTATTTATTTATTTAAATTTAGATCCAGAAAATCAAAGAAGATAAATGGCAAATAAAAATGTTCGATGAGTTTTTTAAAAATCATTTATTTATAAAGTAATATATTATAAAAATACTTATAACTATATATATAGAGAAAGCGGCTCAAAAGTCAGTTTACCGAAGTATAGTTAAAACCTGTTAAATCTTGTTTACTAACTTTTGGGCCACCCCTTACGTTTTTATAACTGAAAACTTATTAATTTTTCTATTTATTTTCATTTTACGCTTTAAATTTCATTGGATTGAAGGAATATTATCTTTAAAACTGATTATTTGAATGTTAAAATCATATAATTTAGTGTTAGATACCTCGAATTATTTCAATTATTTGACTGATTTAGAGATCGCTTATCATTAAAAAAAATCTTAAAAAAATTACTTTAAAATATTCTTAAAACACAAAAAAGAAGATAAAAATCAAATTTATTTGCAAAAATTTTAATAATTTTAACTTAAAAATATGTTTTCTAGCTTTTAAAAATTGGTAAAATAGATTTAGTAATTAATTCGAAGTATTGAGAATTGGTATAATTATTTTTAAGAATTTACTTAGATTTTAATTGCAAAATATAATATTTAAATTTTTATAACTATTTATTAGAAAATTTAGAATATTTAATAAAATAAAAGCAAAGAAATAATGAAATTATAAACATTTTCTACTAGACCTCAAGACATACACACCTTATATAAGCACTAATTTTATTTTATAGTTGAAATTTTGAAAGGAGCCATAAAAATAAAAATATTTAAATAAGCAAAGAAAATATTTACAATTTAAACTGATAAAAATGAATAGAATATTATAAATTTAGATTAAAAATACGTTATTTTTCATTCATTTAAAATGCGTTAGTGAATGAAGCGTGGGATTTTGCTTATTTATACTTTATTATTTTATAGTTAAAATATAATTTAAAATGTCAAAAATTATATTCTATACGTAATTTTAAAGTTGTACACACGAGTACAAGTATAAATATAATGTTATGTTAGTGAATGAAGCCTGAGATCTATACCTTATAAAACCCTTAAAATTATCTTTATATAATCGAAAATATCCATAATTATATTCTGTACATAAAGTTGTACACAGGAGTACAGATATGTACTGTATATACAGTCATAAGTAGATCAGAAGTATAAATTCATGAAAGAAAACTGTAAGAAACCGGCATTTATTACGCTAAAAATGCATTTATTTTAAATTATAAAAGATTATATGAATGTAGAAATCATTTTTCGAAAATGTATAAATGTATTTTTACGGATGAATATACGGTTCAAATATTCAATTTTTTTTTTTTTAACTCGCGCTGCATATAAATGCGATCAGGTGTGTATGTGTGTGTTGTAGAACTGGCTGGCACAGAGTTAGAAAACGGAAGCAACAACTACACAGGAAGATGTAGTTAAATGAAAATCAAGAAAGGGAAAATTAATAGCCATGAAAATAAAATTTCTACACGAATTATAATGAATCGAAATCTCTTTTTCTCTTTCTTAATAAATGCAACAGCAGATTTATCTTCTGTAATGGACAGAAGAATAGAATGGCTTTTCGTAGTCACTGTAGGCCAACTTATAAAATAGATTTTTCTTTTTGGAAAATGTAGACCG